GTGTGTGTGTGTGTGTGTGTGTGTGTGTGTGTGTTTTCACAGGAATCAAATCCCGGACTGCACTAGGGCAGAGGCTGCATCACTGGAGAAACCTCTGCCTGGTAAATATGAAAGTTTCTGATTGGTGGAAAAACAAAAATATACAGATTTAAAGCATCCTGTAAACATCTCACACATTTTCCATTTTCAGCCAAAATAACTGAAAAGCAGTTTGCCCAGATGTGAATTTCTCATCCTGTTTACTATATATAGGCCATTTGTTACGTGTCTGATGTCATGTGGAGGCCGATGATGTTCATATCATTCAGGTTACAGTCTTTACTCTGATCTCACAGGGTGTCCTGGAGCTCGTAAGAAGAAGTTCCTTCAGAGTCTGGTCAGAGCGCTGCAGGTGGAAGCACAGCATGCTGGGAGTCAGAGTCCCTACCAGTAAGTCTGGATACTGTAGACAGCAGGGGGGTGACGAGTGCAGCAGTGATTAATGATCTTCTGTGAAACTCACAGTAACATCTCAGGCTGTGTCTGAAAGTGTTATCTACTCACTTTTTCATCATCTGCACGTACTCTCATGTCAGAATCTCTAAATAGAAATGAAAAACATGTCTGTAGCAGGTCGAGTTTCTGAGAGTCCCAAAGTGTCTACATGTGGAAGTTTGTCTTAGTGCCTGAAATTTCAATATACCTCTCTGTAGAGAGAAAACTGACTAATGTGCAAGTATATTGGAGTAAGCAGGCACTGATTTAGGAAATATACGGTGGCACAGTTATCTCAGATAAAAATCATTTCTCAATAAGCAGACATCCGTTTAGAAGACCCCTACGAACTAAGCAGGCTGTGTTTGTATTATTTAAATATGTTTTGATTTTGTGAAATGGAACAGGCTTCAGACTCGCACCATAAGTTTGCATTATGTCCGCTCTGTGCCTGCGTGCTCGTCCAACGTGAAACCTGTAGATCTGCTTTAAATCAAGAGAAATTCTTCCGTCTCAGGTGTGTAATGTGCCACCTGTTGCACAGCAGGAGCTGATAGCGATTCCTCCGGTGTGTTGTAGTGCTGAGATGGTATGCAGAATTGAAAATGAAAACCAGTTTCACACATCGGTGAACAGTGCAGATTTGATCAAGCACCTGATAACCTGCAGGAAGAACAGAACGGAATATTCCCATCTGTTTTCCTGCGTTTGCCAATCAGCACTTACCTCATTCTTTCCATCTGCTCCTCAGTCTCAGTTTACAAACATGTTGTTGGCTCACTTCTTCAGGTTCATGCTTTTCATGCATCTGTGTCCCATCCTTCACCCACTTTATTATTCTCCACCAAACATGCACAGATTTTCAGCTCCAGCATATTTCTTCACGATAACTTTGGCTTTGCTGTTTCATTCATTCCAGACTTGTTTGCGGTTTGTGTCTGACATAAATTTGAAGCTTCAGTTGCTCAGCTTGCTTTATAACTGATAAGAGGGAACTGAGAAATCCATCTGGTGATTCTGTTTGTCAGCAGGCTCCCTTGTCCTTGTGAAATGGGATGTTTATTGAGTTCTGCTGGAGCGTTGTGAATAGTGCTGCTGGGTTTTATACGATCAGTGTGTAAACATTGAGACACACTGTCAAATCTGAGTACAGATTATTCCGTGCTCTCTGTGATGCTAACAGCGATTTTAAGGTTTGAGTGACTTTCAAATGTAAGTTTTTCACTATTTTGTCACACAGAACTGTTTCTTTAAATGTGTTTTCTGTGAAAAGTGATTTGAAAAAAGAACCTGAATGAGGTGGCGTCCTTTACACCAGCAAAGTGTCTCATCTCTTGGGTTTTTGTGCCGCTTCTTTCCATCAGAGACTCAAACACAGATCCTTCCAGTGCTCCTTCGCCCACTTCAAACCCTCCACCCTCTGTGGCTCCTTCATCATCTTCCTCCTCTCTGGATAATGCCTCCGCTGATGCTGCAGAGTCTTCTAGGCCAGAGGTGGTGCTGCAGTGGCACTTTAGTCAGCTGGACGTGGACTCCGACGGGTGGCTCAGTGAGCGTGAGGCTCGACCCCTCCGTCAGTTCCTGCGGCGCAGACTGAAGCCACGACGCTGTGCTAAGAAGTTCGCCCAGTACTGCGACAGCGATCGAGACCGAAGCCTAACGTTAGAGGAGCTGAGGGTGTGCCTGGCTCTCTGAGGAGGCTTATCGTCAGGTATGTGACTGCAGTATAAACCCAGTGGTTAAGCTAATCATTTCTAATTTTTTCCAACTTGTACCTCTTGTTGGGAATGATTTGCATCACCCTTGCTTAACTTTCTGTGCTCTGTGAAAAAATAAGATAAATCTGAATATATCTAATACAGCTGGCCTTTTTACTCATTACATGTTTCTTGTTTGCCACAGATTTGAACTTGAACAGATTTTCCCTTTAAGATAATGACAGTGGGAAGAGAAGAAATTCAGGGAAAGGCTGGTAGACTATAGGAACGGCAGCTCTACGCGCCCTAACGACGTACTGCACATGCTTAACCTCCATCGAGCTGACGCTAACCTTCACACTGCTGCCCGTAAAAACAGAATATAATCAAAGTTCACTTAGACCATGACACAGTTCAATAAAACAGCAGCTTTGACCAGCTCAGCTTGTTTCAAAATAACACGTTGAGCTCGCCGGTGCGGTCTAGCAGAGAGTAGAGCACACGCTGTGAATGCACCAATTCTTCGGAGCCGTTGAACCGATCGGCCTGATTAAGGACAGGTGCAACGACAGGCAGCAGAGTCTCTGTTCTCACTCCAGCTGCTGCTCAGTGCGAACCCGCTCATGCTGCATGAAGCTCATTTGATACGTTTCTCCAGCCAGGTTGATGAAGTGATCGTTTTCGGCTCATGTGCCATAGTTTAGAAACACAGTCACACAGTGCGAATGTCTCCATGTTTCCTTTTGTCTTCAGGTTAGCACAATGTTTTGGAAGTGTTTTTTAAGTTGTATGGTTTGGATGGCAGCTAGTTTACAGCTCTGATCGTTGCTTTATAATTTAATATTTCCTCTTTTTTCTTATTTCCAGTCTCTTTTGTCTACTTCAGTCACCCCAACTGAAACTAAGCAGCTCGTGTTGGTCTGAGAGTTGATGAATGTCGAGCTAATACACAGATGATCAGAGCTATGAAAATAAGAAAACATGTCTGCGTGGGCAGAATATGAGCTGCGCATTAGAAAAGGAACAAACAGGATACAATTACATCTTATTAAATTCAGTTTCATTGTTTCCTCTGCTGATTGTTTCCTCTTGCAGCTTCTTATTACTGCTAAGAAGCTGCAACTTGTAGTTATTTTGGGAAAGCAAATCCATCCATGAAACAGCCTACGCCTCTGCTGTGGCATAATCACAGTAGTATAACTCCAGTTTCAGTGGTACTGAGCAGTTAGTGGTAGCAGGATTTAGATAAGTAAAAGTAGAAGCAGCAGAATATATCTACCTAATATACCTGGTGATATTTCAGCAGCAGTGGGATAACGCAGAGTTGTTCTGGTCTCAGTTTTCACAGCTGTCTCTCTCTCTCACACGGCTGTTAACCGGCCTCCTCATTGGTCTGCTGGCTGAGGTAAAAGCGTCTTTTCTCTCCTTTTCAGGCTGTTGATCTAAGGGGAGCCGAGCAGTTTGGGCTGGCAGCGAGACAAATTACACCCACGATGTCTGAGTGTTTATGTACCTTCGTAAAACGAAAACAAATGGTGGTCGAGGTGAAAAGGCCCATTTGTCAGGGGGCTATCAGTCACAGCTCGGTGGTGACAGCGATTCACTAATCAGCCCACCGCAGACGGCAGTGACAGCTCGACCAGTGTGTGTGTTTTTCTTAGTTATAGCAACACGAGTCTGGGATTTATTATAAGTTTGTAAGGGTCATAAGCTCGATATTCCGTCTTTCTCTGCCTGGATTTTTCTGTCATTTCTGTTGATGTAAACAAAACATCTGGTTCATATGAAGATCTTAAATCATGATGCTGATTCCACCGACAAGCATGAAAAACACGATTATACAGTGAAGGACGGATGACAGAGAACAGCAGCATTTTCTCACTGTATCTGCAAACATCCTGTAGATCATTTTATATATTTTGTGTAAACTGAAAACTTCAGTTTATTTTTCCAAGATTTCACTGGCAGAGTTATCAAAGTACCATATTATTTAGAAATAATGTTGAAAATACAAGATTAGAGCAGCTACAAGGATCCCATTTAAAGTCTAGACTGACATCGTCAGTGACATGTCAGCTGACCTGACCTGAGAGTTGGCAGTTCGTCTTGTGATCGCAAGGTTGCCGGTTCGAGCCCCGGCTCGGACAGTCTTGGTCGTTGTGTCCTTGGGCAAGTCACTTCACCTACCGCCCACTGGTGAGGGGCCGATGGCGCGATATGGCAGCCTCGCTTCTGTCAGTCTGCAGCTGTGGCTACAACTGTAGCTGCCTCCACCAGCGTGTGAATGAATAGTGGAATTGTAAAGCGCTATATAAATCTGTGTGAAAGTGACGGCAGTCAGTCAGTCAGATTGGGCTTGTTTGGAGAAACGTTGCCTCACACCAGCTGATCTGTGCAGTCTCCTTGGAATTGAAAGTAGTTCCCCAGAGGCTGAGGTTGGTGACAACTGATTATCAATCAAAAATTGATAATTCTTAGTTGAGGTTGTTGTTGTATATTTACTCGAGCATGACTCAGCCATAATAGTTAGACTGAATGACACAAGTGTAATCTCATTTGAGGAACAGCAGTGAGAAAGACCTGTGGGCAGCCTCGGCGTCAATGAAGTGTGACTGTAGAGATTGTATAGCATTAGAAAGCAGCAGTGCCTGAAGAGATGCAAGAGCAGGAATATAGAGTGGATACGAGGAAACAGGCCTCGAGTCTGGATGACCTAAAAGTCTTGCTTTATGAACAGGAGGACACACTGGTGAAATTAGGTTCTGCACAAAGGCAACAACAGGGACGTGAAGGGCAGTAAGAATCACTGCAGAAAGTATGAAAAGTGAAAGTCAGCAAGAGGACAAGCAGAGCAGCAAGGTGAAGGGCAAAGATAAGAACTGGCAGGTGGCAGACAGAGGCAAGTGGACTGAGGAGCAGCTGCTAATTCAGAGATGAAGAGAAAGACAGGATAAAGAGAGGCACATGGGGCATTGAACTAACATGTGTCTGGGGGAGATAGCAGTGACCTCCAGTAGTGATGGAGGAGCCGACTCCCCAGACACGCTGCCAGTGGACCCATGTCACTCTGCTGAGCTCGGTAAAACAGGCTAGAGTTGAAAAATAGTTTCCATTGATGTGATTCTTTTGTCTTTATTTTCCTACCCTTCATTTCTCTTTCCCATTTTTTTGGTTCTCTTTCAGAGTCAAAGCGACCGAGAGCAACGAGACAAATCAGCTGACATCAAAAGGCAGCTCGTTTTAGTGATTAAGTCATAGAAGCGCCATCGTTGGGGTTGGAAGATCTGTTCTGTCGCCCACTTGTTCCTACATGGTCGCAAATTCCTGACACTATCGCTGTGGGGTGGAGCAGGGGGAGGTTTTAATGTGCAACCTCCAGCTCAGATACAATCGGCACTCCAGACAACCACTACAGTAATCTGATCCATTCTCAGCCACTTGCAGCTCAGTGTCCTCTGCTGTTTCACACCCTGCAGAGCCATCCAGGGGTTCAGCTTTGATTCTTTTTGGCTGACTTTTGCTCGTGATTCCAGACCAATAACACCAAGAAACCTTAATTTATTCAGTTACTGCTTTCCTTTTTCTCCTTTCATTAATCTTATGTGTCTTTTACTTCCCGAGCCTGCATCTCTTCTTCTTTGTACATACTTTGTTACAACACATACTGACAGTATATATTAACACATGTATACATAAGTATATGTACTTTTGTAATTTGTTCGTTAAGTTGTATTTTCAGACCACATCATCGACTCACAGCATTTTCTACTAAGTAATTGTGAGTTAAAAAAGGGAAAAACAGGTGTGATGGATGGATGGAACTTCAACCTTCATGTTTTTGCTGTTTGTAAATTTCAATAAATTTGTCGTCTCATTTTTATTCATCTCAGCAGTCATTCGTGTGAACGCTGTCTCGGCATCTCAGACTCGGTGGTTATCAATGGAGCCGCCGTGTCCTTCATTAGGTCTAACAGGAGGCCCGTTGGTTTCCACAGCAACAGCTGCCCGAGTTGTTGTCCCCTAATAAACTAATCAACAGATAAACAGGAAACAACAGAGGAATAGCATCTTTCATAACAGTCAAGTAAAACTTATTTCCCATCCTGCATTAGTGCCCGTCTCAGGTCATCACTGAGGCTAAATGTATTTTGACGGGAGATTAACAAGGTCCCGCGGCTTCCTAGCAGCCGGAGCAGATGATGTGCTTTCCTGTGCGACTTTGTGCCAGTTTCACAAACATACCTTAGACTGGAAATGCTGGAAATATGCAGCAGTGAGGACACCGTCCACCATTTTTGTTTAAGGATCTTATCCTGAAAGAAGTGCTGAGCCGTGCCACATCAAGACGACACAGCATGAAAGCTCTGTGCGATTGTTCTGCTCGAGGTCAAGGCATCGAGATGTCAATCTGAATTTCACAATTTTATGTATCTGAGCCACATTCAAAGGTGACCTGACAAATAGTAATATCAGAGTTTGTGTGACTTTTTAATAATAAGTCAAGTCAAGTTTATTTATAAAGCACATTTAAAAACAACCCAGGCTGACCAAAGTGCTGTACAATAAAATACAAATATAAAATACAATAAAACACAAGTACATAAAACACAATAAATTAAAACAATAAGTTAAGCCTTGCTAAAAGCCAATGAGAAGAGGTGAGTTTTAAGAGCAGTTTTAAAAGTTCCAAGGCTTGTGGAGAATCTGATGTGAGGAGGTAAACTGTTCCACAGTCTGGGTGCAGCCACAGCAAAAGCCCTCTCTCCCCTAGTCTTTA